TGAGAACAGACGCCGCTCCGTGCAGCAGCAGCGTTGAAGCTCTGACGCAGCCTCTCCCTCCTCCCTCTCCTCGTCTCTCCTGGACCCCTCTGCGCTTCCGTTTCTCTGCTCACCCTCTGACACCCCCCCACTCTCTCCCCTCTCCCTGCTCTTTCCCCCAGACATTATTCCAGTCTTGTCTCTACTCCCCTTGCCGTGCAGGTTGTGGTGGTGTAGCCACGGGTACAATCGTTGCTATAGTCATGGTTTTGGTTTTTGTGTTTTTGCCCGAACCGACCTCCTTTTACTCCGGGCCGTCTCAGAGCGCTTGGCAAGGGGACACCCCCAGTGGCAGCTGCCCCTGTTCGGCACAAGGCTGACTCGGCACCTGGCTTGTCAGCGGGCATTAAGTCTGCCAGTAGGGAGGAGGGGGTGGGGCGATGATTGTTGCTTGGCGTGCAGCCCTGTGCAGCCCTGTGCATTGTTTATAACCCGCTCGGATCAGTCGAGTTCGATTATCATCGATATCCGCCTTGGTGACGATGATCGGGCAATGGGTATCGGGGGCTGCGGGGACACGTCCGTTTGCACCTGGCAAGGTTTGGTTTTTATTTTTCAAATTACTGTACCCAATATATACTGTACTCATATAAAAACAACGAAACACGTTCTTCAATAACACTGGCCTTCAAAGGGAAACATGAAATAGGTGACGGTTCGGGTAACGGCCCTTCTTCATAGTGCATCGAATGGCCCATCGCAGAAGGAAAGGTTCATTGCCCGAAACGTCGCCTATTTGTGCGCACAACAGGCACAAAGGGTTAGGGCGATACATTTTTTTTGCTTAACACTGCAATGCACATCATCATCAACATCACCAACATTAACACCATCAACATCGACAACATCAACAACATCATTACCACCATCCTCAACATCATTATCGTCATCATTAGCATCATAAACGACAGCATTACGATCATCAACATCTCGGGCATCATCATCAGCATCATCTCCACTGACATAGCATCATCATCAGCATCATCTTCATCATCATGATCATCAACATTGTTACGAAGATTAATACATTCTATATTAACTTTAAGGACACAATTTGTCATAGTTTGTTCAACATCGCCATCCTCATCTATGGTCTCTCCACTGCTGGATGAATGCCTCCCCGTCATTGTCAGCAGCAGTATCATGAGTCATCGTCTCTCCACGGCTGGATGGAGGCCTTCCCTCGCAGGTCGCAGCCTCCCTCCCGGTTCTACAATGCCCCAATACCACCTCTCCAGAGCAAACACACACGGAGACTCTACACACGTAGACTCTACGTGCACCTAGACTCTACGTAGACTCTACGCACGAAGACTCTACACACGTAGACTTAACGCACGTAGACTCTACGTAGACTCTACACACGTAGACTCTACGTAGACTCTACGTATACTCTATGTACACTCTACGTAGACTCTACGCACGTAGACTCTATGCACGCCTACAAGGACAAAGTTCCCCCGTCTGGACTTTATCTGACTGGTCGTAACAAGTGCTGTGAGCGAGCACCTCTTAAGGCCGGAACGGCACACGAGAGGATGAGTGGCCAGCAGCAACACGCCCGGCCGCATTTGTCTCCCCAGTGCAAATGCTGTACACACCAGGTACCCATTTAAGGCTGAGTCGATCTAGGGGCAACCCAGGACTGATTCCGATATTCGTTACCGATGTTGCCAGTGAGTAGAAAATCGAACTCGGGTCGTCGGCTTCGTAACGCAGTGCGCTAACCACTGTGCCACAGTTCCTCCGTTATACACGCAAACGAACATATACATACAGACACACCACTAGCATCATCATCATCATGAGTCAGGGCCCATTCTCTGAAGGATGAAGGCCTCACGTTCTCGCCACCCCTCTCGATCTGCGATGGCACAATCTGTCTCACTCGGTACACGAGCTAATTCGGTTGCTCCATTCTTCCACAGGGGTCGTTCTTCCGAAAATCTTTCCCCTCCTTCGCCTGTCATTCCGTCACCAGTCTCGTCCGTCGATCATCATCTGGGCCGGTGGTGGCTCCGCTGCTGCTGCTGCTGCACGTGGCTGCCTGTACCCCAGCGCGCTGTGCGAAGGCAGCAGCAGTGAGGGTTGGTGGATCACCGCACAGATGTTGCTGTGGAACTCCCTTCCTACCACGTGGGTGGGCCTCGAGGGGGAGCCGTACCCCGGCTCGCCAGGAGAAGGCGGTACAGCAAGTGGACGAATCGCCATTTTGGGGGGATAGAGCGTTGCCCCCTCGCGCAAGGCGTGGGTTGTCTCCGGGTGCTCTGGTTTCCTCTCCACCCACGTGAACAATAAACACGACTCGTCGGTAATTGGCTGGCATCTTACAAACAAAAAAACTTCAATGTAGCAGCAGCACGCTCAAGTTATGCGTCCTGCCGAATCTCACTTTCCTCGATAGGCAAATATGATGTTCTCTGATTTGTGTTTGATCCACGGGGCCAGAATGAATCACTCGGCCCGAGTGGCCCACCGGCTGCTAGAATCGCGGGGAGTGCGGATTGTATCACGGCGACCCGCGAGAAGGGGAGGTGGGGGACGCGATTAATCCAAAGATAGCGTGACTCGGAGTGACTCGGGTGACTCGGGGTGACTCGGGTGACTCGGGGTGACTCGGGTGACTCGGGGTGACTCTGGGTGATTCGGGGTGACTCGCTGTCGATACGAAGGGATGGAGGTTGATTAACTTTCGCACCTCCGATTAGCACGGCTGGCCACGTCGGGTGCAGGAAGACGTTGGACGTCGGTACAGAACTTTGAGCCAGTCTCAACCTCTCCCACAAACAAATCTTCCCACTCTCGCTTCTCGCGCGCCGCCAGCGGCAGTTCCAAGACGTCTAGCTCCTCAATGCTCCCACCAAGACGTCTAGCTCCTCAATGCTCCCACCAAGACGTCTAGCTCCTCAATGCTCCCACCAAGACGTCTAGCTCCTCAAGGTTCCGACCAAGACGTCTAGCTCCTCAATGCTCCCACCAAGACGTCTAGCTACCCAAGGTTCCGACCAAGACGTATAGCTTCCTCAAGTCTCCCACCAAGACGTCTAGCTACTCAAAGTTCCGACCAAGACGTCTAGCTACTCAAGTCTCCGACCAAGACGTCTAGCTACTCAAGGTCCCGACCAAGACGTCTAGCTCCTCAATGCTCCGACCAAGACGTCTTGCTCATCAAGGCTCCGACCAACCTCAATGCTCCGACCAAGACGTTTTGCTCATCAAGACTCCGACCAAGACGTCTAGCTCCTCAATGCTCCGACCAAGACGTCTTGCTCATCAAGGCTCCGACCAAGACGTCTACCTCCTCAATGCTCCGACCAAGACGTTTTGCTCCTCAATGCTCCGACCAAGACGTCTTGCTCATCAAGGCTCCAACCAAGACGTTTTGCTCCTCAATGCTCCGACCAAGACGTCTAGTCTCCTCGAGTCTCCGACCCCGATCGCCGTGTATTGGTCAAACCGCGCTCGGCTCTAAAAGCGAGCGGATTACACACTGCGCACGCCCGATGATTGGTGGACATCGTCTCCGTGTGAAGACGCAAAGAGCTCTCGGTTTAAATGAAAATTAAGGAGCGAATCGTCCATACTGACACAAAGACAAAGATCCCCCGTACAGCCTTAACAGACTGTTGGGGCAAGTGCTGTTAGCGAGCACCTATGAAGGCCGAAACGGCACACGAGGTGGTGGGTGGCCAGCACCATCTCCGGCCGCCTTTGTCTCCCCAGTGGCGATGTCTACACACTTTACTAGGTACTCATTTGAGGCTGAGTCGACCTAGGGGAGGCCCGGGACCGGTTTAAATAATCGTCACCGGTGTTGGTGGCCGTGAACGGGAAACGAACTCGGGTCGCCGGGTTCGTAACGCAGCGTAGCACTAACCGCGACACTACAGCTCCCCACACACACGTACAACAACAACAACAACCGCCATTCGCCACTAAGTGGCGGTGACGTCACCACGACGCTTGTGCCAGGCCATGTGCACATTGAGACCACGTGGAGTGTCGAACGCCCGCTGGCAGGAGGTCACGGGGCAGACCCAGGTGCCACGGGTCGACTGACTGAGATGACTGGTTGATGCACCACCTGTGCCCCATACTGTGCCAACCTGCTGTGCTTTAGCCACCCGGTGCTCCGCTCGTTGTTGTGGAGCGTCGCTCCTCCGCCCTCCGTTGTTGTTGGAGGGCGACTGCCTCCAACTGCCCAGTAGCGTCCTTCACGAGCCTCCTCCACAGAGACCGATCTTGACACCGCTGGTACCAGTCATCGGCAATTCCACTCAGCTCCACGTCCTCCTGTACCACGTCACTCCATCTCTTCTCTACCCCGTACCACGCCCGCTTAGCCCCCTCGATCCAGCCGAACAAAAGCTGTTTCGGTATGCGGTGGCTGGGCATGCGGGCTACATGACCCAGCCAACGCAACCTTGCCTGCCGGAGGAGCTCACCGATGGGACCGTGCCCAGATCTTTCAAGGATTTGTGAGCTCCTCACACAATCCAGCCTGGTTAAACCCAGGATGGATCGTAGGCAGGCCAGCCTAAATGTTTCTAACTGGCGAAGATGTTCCATTAGGGGGGTCCACGTTTCGCAAGCGTAGAGAAGGGAGGGAATGACCGTGGCCGAGAAGACCTGAAGCTTAGTGCAGAGCGACAGACCAGGTAGCTTCCACACAGCATTACGCAACCGATGAAAAGATATTGCCGCTCGACTGATTCGGAGTGAAACTCTGCTGTTAAACTGGGGCCAGTCATAAGCCCACTGCCCAGGTACGGGAAACTCTCCACTCTCTCCACAACTGCCCCATCACCGATTGGGAGTTGTGGGGGTGGAGTGTCCGATGGTACAAAATACCCAGGCAGGTGCTTAGTTTTGGTGGGGCTGATGGTAAGGCCCCATCTCTTAGTGGCACGCTCCAGTCTCAACAGCAGCGTCTCCAACACACACACGTACACACACACACGCGCACACATGCACACACGCACGCACACACGCACACACACACGCACACACACAATACCATTTCAATGTTTGAATGGGGGCGCTGTTTAAAAAATCGTGTTCACCAATCATCGTGCGCGTGCAGCGCGTTTACACTTGATTTGTATCTGAGCGGAGGGATGTCGGCCGCGCACGTGGGGGGTAGCCGTGCGTTGGGCTGGGGTCAACAAAGAGCTTCTTAGCTCTACGGGCTTTAATCAGTGCGAAATACGCTTCTGGTTCCGATTAATCGCGCGGGGATTTACAAATCCGTCGCAGCAGTCCACAGTCACCTCTCTCCCTCTCTCTCTCTCTCTCCCTGGATAAACCTCTGGGGTGGAAGGATCACCCGCGAGAATTTGGGATGAGTGAACGCGCACGCGGAGCGAGCGAGCGAGCGGAGGGTCGCTTCGAGTCCGCTCCGCGTCAGAAGGTGGACTCCGAGGTGTCCCTGCGCTCCGCTCCCCTCTCCGCCGTCTCCTCGAGCTCGAAGCTGAAGTTGCTGTGCGAGCGGCTCATCACGGCCGCCGCGCTGCCGCGGCTGCGCTCGCACGCGCGCCTCCACCCCACCGCCGCCGGCACCGCCTCGGCGTCGTCCTCGCCCCACGCATCGGCCCCTTGTAGCTTCACGTACCCCGACGATGCCTTACCACCACCACCACCACCACCTCGTCTACCACCACCTCCTCCGCTACCACCACCTTGTCCACCTCCTCCCTCTGCTGCCGCTCCACCACAAGACGCAGCGCGTTCTTGCAAACGTGGCCAGCTTGGATGCTTCACCTTCTGCTGCTGCTGCTGGTGGTGGTGGGGCTCTTGAGGTTGGCCCGAGCAAGTGTGGAAGGCATCTCGCTCGCACAGGTCCAGAGACTTGGACTGCCCGGACACCACCGCGCACGCCGCGCTGTTGCCGCTGCCCGTGTCTCTGTCGCTCGAACTTCTGCGTCGTGAGCGCCGCGCTGCGTCCGAGAAGGCACGAGGGGCAGCAGCAGGAGGAGCAGGAAGGGCAGCAGCAGGAGGAGGATGAGGGGGACGCCTCCTGGCGAGGGCAGGCGACAGCAGCTTCCCGAGGAACGCGACGGCTGGGGAGAGCGACGCTCTCGACTCCGCGGAGGAGGAGGCGGAAGTGGGGGGAGCCGCTCTCCTCTGCTCGGCGCGGCTGTGGAGCAGCTCGTCCTCGGGGTTGTCCTGCGACCCCATCTCCTCCTCTTCCTCCTCCTCCCCGTGGCCGTCCTCGCCGTGGTCGTCGCCGTCGTCGCTGTGGTGGCCGCGCAGGAGGCACTCGGGGTGGGAGGGGAGGAAGGCGCCCGCGGACGCGCGCACGATCGACAGCTCCACGAGCGAGGGCGACGACCTCGACGCGGGAGCCCCGGCGGCGGCGGCGGCGGCGGCGCGCTCGGCCGCCTCCCCCTCCTCGATGACGCAGTTGTTGAGCTTGATGATGGGGAGCGTGAAGGCGCTCACCGACGGCGAGACGATGGAACGCGCTCCGCACTCGCCTCGCCTGCTCGCCCCCCTCCCCTCCACGCGCCCTCCGCGTGGTGCCCAAAGCCCGGCCTCCACGGAGTTCCGGAAGGAGGCGGTCGCCAGACTTTGGGCGAACGGCCTCGGCGCCGTCGTGTGGCCCCCACGTGGCGCCGTCTCGCTCCGGCTGCCCGGTGGCTGCGCGCTCAGATCGACACCTCCAGCCAGGGCCTGTCCCGAGCCACCACGCCGCGTGACGAATCCTCCTCCTCCCTGCCCGTCGCTCTGCCTCTCCTCCTCCTGCTGCTCCTCCTGTAGCTGCCCGGGCCCTTGCCCTCGCCAGGGCTCGTAGCCCGAGAGCGCGTCCCTCGCCTGCTTGGCGTGCATGACGTTCACGTCGATGACGGTGGAGTAGATGTCCCGCAGGTGGATGATCCGCGTCTCGCGGTCGCGGTTCTCGTGCAGCACCGCGTTGGCGCAGATGAACACGAAGATTCCCACGCCCATGAGCAGCGGCCCCAGCAACTTCATGCGCTCCGAGTGCAGAAGATGCCTCACCACGAACGCGACCACGGAGCCACGGGCCGGAAGCCTCAACTGCTGCTGCTGATTATCTTCCTGCTGCTGTTCTTCTTGATGCTGTTCTTCCTGCTGCTGATCTTCCTGCTGCTGTTCTTCCTGCTGCTGATAATGCTGCTGCTGATGATGATGCCACCACCGCCGCTGCTGCTGCTGCTGCTGTTGGAAGGCGGAGCCGTTCCCTTCTCCAGGAGGTTCGAAGGCGGCCCCCGGAGGCCTCCTGCGAGGCCAGTATCCCATGACCGTCATGGTGATGCCCACGAGCAGCACCAGGAGGCCCAGGCACACCACGACGCCGGAGAGGGAGCACATCTGCACCTTGCCCCGCACCACCACGGCGTCCGCCGGCCGCCTCCGCCGGGCCAGGCGCCTCGCCCGCCGCTGTCTCCTGGCGCGCCGGCGCTGCGAGTCTCGGCGCTCGGACGAGTGGAGGCTTCCGCCGCTCGCCTCCTGCCTTTGGCGAGTAGCGACGATGCCGCGGAGGACTCCCCCCGTGGCGATCATGATCCACCCCCACCCCTCTCCCTCCCACCCCTCTCTTGCTCGCTCGCCTGCTCCGTCCCTGGCCACGCGACTCACGTGGCCGCCTGCGTTCTGGTGGGAAAGGAGTGGGTGGTTAGGTGGGTGGTGGATTGGGCTGGTGGGTGGGTGGGTGGTGGGTTTGGTTGGTGGGTGAGTGGGTGGGTGGTGGATTGGGCTGGTGGGTGGGTGGGTGGTGGATTGGGCTGGTGGGTGGGTGGGTGGTGGGTTTGGATGGTGGGTGAGTGGGTGGGTGGTGGATTGGGTTGGTGGGTGAGTGGGTGGGTGGTGGATTGGGCTGGTGGCTGAGTGGGTGGGTGGTGGATTGGGTTGGTGGGTGAGTGGGTGGTGGATTGGGTTGGTGGGTGAGTGGGTGGTGGGTTTGGTTGGTGGGTGAGTGGGTGCGTGGTGGATTGGGTTGGTGGCTGAGTGGGTGGGTGGTGGATTCGGTTGGTGGGTGAGTGGGTGGGTGGTGGATTGGGTTGGTGCGTGAGTGGGTGGGTGGTTGGATGAGTTTATAACTTAAAGACTGTTGGGGCACGTGCTGTTAGCGAGCACCTATTAAGGCCGGTGATTCCTGCTCAGATGTTCTGTGAAGCGGTACTCCTATTCACATTCCTGAGTAAGGATTGGAAATTGCACGTTCCTATGGAGGGAGTGAGGGTGCGGGGAGACGGGGGACGCGGGATAAGGTTCACTGAACTATGTAGCTCTTTTGCAGAAGCGACCTGTCTATCATAATTGAAAGCTCAACGAAGTGGCTTATCAGATTGAAATGAATAGCAGCCAAACACTCTAAATGCGTGTTGTTGATTCTCGATGTGGAGGGAAAAACCGGAGGACCCGGAGAAAAATCCACGCGGCCACGGAGAGAGAGAGACATTCAAAATCCAAATATATAGGCGTCAGGGTCGGGATCGAACCCACGAACTTCTGTACACCAGGCGAGGTAGTTAACATCTCCTAGCCACCGCGGGAGAGGTGGATTCACGCTCAAGTCACATGGAGCCATCTCCGCTCAGATGGGCAGCTCCCTTCGCTGCTCGAGAGTCAACGGGGGAAATTCTACATTCCCATGGCGAGGGGTTGGATTTATTCGCTGGCACGTAGTGGCTATGCGCGCCTGCAGCTTGGAGGCGAGGATTGGTGGATCACGCAGAGATTTGTGAATTTCCCAAAGCCAAAAAATGCACCGTTTCACTCTGGTCACTCGTTCGCTTCCGGCGTTCAGTCGCCTACTCATCACTCTTCTATCGCTACCACTGCTATGGTTACTGTCACCGTCAACCTCACTATTTATTTATTTTTGTGAACCGTCATGAATAAGGGCCACTGCCCGAAACGTCGCCTATTATAAAAACAATTCCTCTTAAGGCCACACACGCGCTGTTATTCGGGAATGCGTTCATCTCCATGTAGGATCATAACAGGTGGCAGTGGCCACGGTGATGCAGTGACCGATCACGCGCGCACGGCAAGAGAGGACATTGTAAATGTCTGTGTGGGAGAGCGGTGGTGCCGTGGTTAGCGCGCCGTACGCGCTACGAACCCGGCGACCCGAGCTTGATGCCCGCTCAAGGCCAACATTAACACCGGTGACCTTTATCTGAACAAGTCCTGGGCCTGCCTTAGATCGACTCAGCCTCAAATGAGTACCTAGCGCAATTTGTAAAGATCGCCACTTCGGAGACAAAGGCGGCCCGGCGTGGTGCTGGCCACCCACCCCCGTGCCGGCCATCATAGCTGCTCGCTAACAGCACTTGCCCTAAAAGTCTGTTAAAGCTACACGGGGATCTTTGCCTTTGTGTGAGTGGTGGCTATCCACTGCGCTACGGACCAGACCCCCCGAGATTGATTCCCGCACACAACCAACACCAGCGTCGAATATCCGAACCAGTCCTGGATCCTTGCCGAGAGTCGATTCATCAGCACTGGGGAGACAAAGACGACCGGGCATGATGGCGTTGGTCACGCACCCCCTCGTGTGCCGTTCCCGCCTGCATAGGTGCTGCTACTCGGGAACAGCACTTGCCCCGACAACCTGTTGAAGGCTGTCTTTGTCTTGATTGTGCGTGGCCTCTGCAAACGTGTGTATAGTTGCATGTCACCGTGCATGTGGTGTGCATGTATGCATACACGTGTGTTTTACGCTACACATCGCACACACACACGCTAGACAAACTACACACGCACGAACAGTAGACACACAGTATACACACAAAGTATACACAAACACGAAACACACAGCAGAGACACGACACACACACACTCGACACTCACAGAGAGCACAACCCGAATACTAGACACATCAAACACAGTGCGCACACACCACACACACACCACACACACCACACACACACACACACACCACACACAGACACCCCACACACACACCACACACACCACTCCCCACACACACACACCACACACACCCTACACACACACCACACACACACCACAAACACACCACACACTCCCCACACACACCCCACACACACACTCCACACACACCCCACACACACACTCCACACACAAACCACACACACACCACACACACACAACACACACACACACCCCACACACAGACACCACACGCCACACACCACACACACTTCACACACACCCCACACACACACACCCCACACACACATTCCCCGGACACACCCCCCACACACCCCCCACACACCCCACACACACACACCATACACACTCCACACACATCCCACACACACACCACACACACACCACACACACCCCACACACGCTACACACACCACACACCACACACACACACCACACACACACACACCCCACACACACTACACACACACCACACACACACCACACACCACCACACACACCACACACACCACACACCACACACACCACACACACACCACACACACCACCCCACACACACCCCACACACCACACACACACCACACACACCACACACACACCGCACACACACCACACACACTACACACACACAACACACACACCACACACACTACACACACACAACACACACACCACACACACCACCACACACCACCACACACCCCACACACAAACCACACACACAACACACCACACACACACCACACACACCACACACACACCACACACACACCACACACACCACACGCACCACACACACAACACACCACACACATACCACACACACACCACACACACCACACACACAAACCACACACACAACACACCACACACACAACACACCACACACACACCACACACAAACCACACACACAATACACCACAAACACACCGCACACACCCCACACACAACACACCCCACACACACACCACACACACAACACACACACACTACACACACACACCACAAAAACACACACCACACACTACACACACACACCACACACACACACACCACACACAAAACACCGCACACAACACACCGCACACACACCCCACAGACACACCACACACACCACACACACACACCACACACAAACCACACACACACGCCACACACAAAACACACACAAACCACACACACACCACAGACACCCCACACACAACCCACCACACACACACCACACACACACCACACACACACCCCACACACACCCTACACACACACTCCACACACACCACACACACACACCACACACACACCACACACCCCACACACACCCCACACACACCCCACACACACTACACACACACACACCCCACACACACTACACACACACACCACACACCACACACCCCACACACTCCACACACACCACACACCACACACACCACACACACCGCACCCACACCACACACTACACACAACACACACACCACCACACACCACCACACACCCCACACACAACACACCACACACACACCACACACACCACACACACCACACACACAAACCACACACACAACACACCACACACACACACACCACACACACACCACACACACAATACACCACACACACACCACACACACCCCACACACAACACACCCCACACACACACCACACACACACCACACACACATACACCACACACAAAACACCGCACACACACCACACACACACACCACACACACACCACACACACAAACCACACACACAAACCACACACACAACACACCACACACACAATACACCACACACACACCACACACACCCCACACAACACACCCCACACACACACCACACACAGACCACACACACAACACACACACCACACACACCCCACACACACCCTACACACAAACCACACACACACCACATACACACACCCCACACACATCACACACACCACACACACCCCACACACACACCACACACACACACCCCACACACACACACCACACACACACCACACACACACGACACACCCCACACACACACCACACACACCACCACACACACACCACACACACACCACACACACATACACCACACACAAAACACCGCACACAACACACCGCACACACACCCCACACACACACCACACACACACCACACACACACCACACACACCACACACACAAACCACACACACAGCACACCACACACACCACACACACAATACACCACACACACACCACACACACCCCACACAACACACCCCACACACACACCACACACACACCACACACACAACACACACACCACACACACCCCACACACACCCCACACACACCACACACACCTCACACACACCACACACACACACCCCACACACACCCCACACACACCACACACACCCCACACACACACCACACACCCCACACACACACCACACACCCCACCACACACCACACACACCACCACACACCCCACACACACACCACACACCACACACACACCACACGCACCGCACACACCGCACACACACCACACACACTACACACACACAACACACACACCACACACACCACACACACCACCACAAACACACACCCCCAACACAACACACAAACCAAACACACCCCACACACACACCACACACACACACCCCACACACACACTCCACACACACCACACACACACACCACACACACACCACACACCCCACACA